GTATCTATGCTTAGCTTGCCACAGTTCTTCTGATCTAGCCATGTGGACTATTTCCTATTATTCTGCTAAATGTTTTTATAAGTACAAATATTAATATGTGGACTTATATCATTAAATAAACCTAAAATTGAAATTAAGTTTAATAAATATTAAAAGCACTGCTACTAGCATTCTACTTCTGCCAGTTCATTTAGAGTCAGTTTGTTTTAGGCAGCATTTGGAAGGATTTAACATTTCTTATAAGAGATTCTTTTCATTTTTAGACTGTTTACATTCAAAGGTGCATCCTTAAAATTCTTTTCAAAATTGAACACCAATGCCTTTGTGTTCACAATAAATACCCAAATGCCAAAATAAAAATTTTCCATTAAAAGATGAGGTATTTCCCCTTTTTTATTTAATTTATTTGAAATGGAAGAAACTGGAGGTGTGTGAAAACCACAGTTTCCTGAGAATTTTCCATGGCAAACATTGTGTCAACTTTAAATAAGGAAAACTGTGGTTCTTTTTCATACCTCCGAATATTGTGAAGACTTTTTCATGCAGGTGTAAAAACTGTTCATAGAGACTATTTAGTAGCCTTTTGAGCTTCAAAATAAATTTATTTAAGATGTATCACTGTATTTGTATTCCTTTCATAAATCTTCATAACATTTTTTATGTCTTTTATGAAGTTTATCATGTTCCACCTCGAATTAGTTATTTGTGCATTTGTCTTAGCTTGTTAAATTAGAGCAACACTGTGACCTTCAAAGATGATCTCTGTCATTATGTGTAAGGCAATGTCTTCACATAATAAGGACTTAGTATAATACAGAGAGAGAGGAGATAAGCGAGGAAGGAAGATGAGCAGGAGGCAAATAAAGAGGGAAAAAAGAATTGAAGTCTCTCAAAGCAGGGGCTGCCCTACTCATTCTTACGAGGTTCTGCACTTAACCTATTGCGGTAAGCAAGATGCAAACACTGTCACAACTCAGCAGACTCAAAATACTACAAAAGGAATGAACATGAACCTGCTTGCTTTATAAGCCCCTTTTTAAAATGTTTACATTTCATTTCTTTCACAAAAGATTTTGAAGGGGGCTTTACACAGTGCAAAAATCATTGAGTTGGGTTACAAAATGAGAAACTTAATTTAAATAGTTTAGAAGAAAACTTATGGAACATACTAGACTGAATTCAGAAATTGATTTTGAATTCTAGCTTGTTCCTAACTGACTAGGTAATCTTGAAATCAAGTCTGTACTGTTAGTCTAACTGGTTGATAAAATCTGTGGTCTATTTCTTCTTTAGCTCTTGTGGAAATTGAATTTTAAAAATCAAGTGAAAGGTTTTTCTAAGGAGAAAATTCTTAAGAATAAAAAAATTTTAAGATAAAAATTGCTTTCAGTAATAAAAGAAAAAACTTAAAATGTTAAATTTGACAGTTTTTACTTAGAATAAAAACTTTAAATAATTTATGTAATTTGCAAACTTGATATGTCTGAGACTTCCTTTTTTTTTTTTAAGATGAACATTGATTATGTTATAGTGAGTGACTAATACTTTTCTTTTTGCATTATATTTCTGATTTCTATAGTTTATAATTGTGTTTATTTTGTTAATTTTCTATCTTATCTCTATTGTAACACCAAACTCTCTATCAGTTATTGAAATGTCCTCTCAAGATACTCAACACAATGGGTATTCTAAACCTACATCTCCTGTCACCATCATCTTGGGGAATTCCTTATATCCTATGCCTTTCTTATCTGTATCCTTTTTCATTTTTGAAGAGCCTATAGCTTCTTGGACAGAAAGATACAAGGGATGTTATTTATTTATTTATTTTTAGTTAAGTTCTATTGTCCAGGCTGGAGTGCAGTAGCACGCTCACAGCCACCATAGCCTCGATCTGCTGTGCTCAAATGATCCTTTTGCCTCAGCCTTCCAAGTAGCTGGAACTACAGGCATGTGGGATGTAATAAAAAAAAAAAATTGCATATCTGAAAGTATTTTTCTTCTTCCCTAGGTTGGAAATTATTTTTCTTTGGAATTTTAAAAGCATTAGCTGCTTTATAGTTTTTGACTTCTAGAATTACTATTGTGAACCATTCAATTTCTATATCTTTTAAAATTTATTTTCTGTTGACTTGGTTTTTCTCTCTGAAAGTTTATAGTCCCAATACTCTGATGTGACTCTATTTTCATATATTGTTTTTGTGTTTTTTGTTTTGTTTTGGCTTGAGTTGAGGGTCTCACTGACATCCAGGCTGGAGTGCAGTGACACAATCACAGCTCGCCACAGCCCCAACCTTCTCAGTTCGGGCAATCCTTCCACTTCAGCCTCCCAAATAATTTGTACTACAGGTGTGCACCACTACACCCAGATAGTTTTTTAAATATTTTTAGAGATGAGGTCTCAGTATGTTGCCTAGGCTGGTCTTGAACTCCTGGGCTCAAGCAATCCTCCCGCTTTGACCTCCCAAAGTGTTGGGGTTACAGACTTGAGCCACTGTGCCTGCTTTATGTATTGTTTTGAATCTTTTTAGCCTGAAAAATTATGTTCTTCATTGGGATTTCTGTTTTCTAGCGTTTAATGTGCAGTCTGTAAAACTAAAGCACACATTTGGCCCATGCCTTTAGCAGCCTAGCTTGTTGCTGAGTGACTCGGGATACTAGCAGTAGACTTCCTTCCTAGGATGTCTCCTGTCTCTCCAAGTTAGATGAAATGGGTAAGCAAACCTGTATTGCATCAGGAAACACAGCAGTGGGCTGAAGAAACGGGGTTGACTTAATACTGTACTTTCTGAATGGTCTACAAGTAGATGACATTTCTTAGTAAATGTTAAGCAGAAACTATATCTAAGTCAGAATCAAAATGCATCTTTTTCCTAAGGCTACCATAACAAAGTACCACAGACTGGAGAGGTCAAAACTACAGAAGTATATTTCTTACAGTTCAGGAAGCTAGAAGCCTGAAATTAAGGTGTTGGTAGGACTGCACTTCCTTGGGATCTCTGGAGATGAAACCTCACTTGTGTTTGTCAACTTCTTGTGTCTTCCACAGCCTTCCTTGGCTTGTGGTAGGATAACTCCAATCTCTGTCTCAGCCTTTCCATGATCTTTGCTCTCTGTCTTTCTGTGCCCCCATATCTAAATGTCCTTTTCCTTAAATGAGCACCCATCATACTGGATTTAGGACCCACCCTAATCCAGCATTATTTTATCATAATTTCATCTGCAAAGACTTCGTTTCCAAATAAGTTCACATTCTGACCCTCAGGCAGACATGAATTTTGAAGGGACACTATTCAACCTCATACATAAATATACAGGAGGTGGTCCTGGCATAGGACTTGCACTAGGTATAATGAAAAAAGTTATCCTTTGAGTGATGTTACTCAAAAGTCCCCCCCAAAAAATAGATGGCAACTGTCATTATGTTACATTTATTTAGGTAACCATACATTTATATTACTGAGTGAAGGAGGAAGAGTCTTATATTCGTCTAGTAGCCATGAAGGATACATTTAGAATAGAAACATTTGAAGCTGGTTGCTCTACTTGTACACACTAGTGAAATTCATTCACTTGCTTTATTAAATGTATTTTTGAGTGCTTCCCTTTACTAGTCACTATTCTAGGCACTGAATCTCCAGCAGTGAGGTAAGCTAAGTCTCTAACGAACGTATCTGCACTGGCATGCAGTGTTAAGTGATGAGAAGTAAATACAGAGTGATGGAAGGTGTCCTGCTAGCTGAGATGACATTTGATCAGAGACCTGAATATAGTGAGATGGTCAATTGTATATATATTTGGGAGTAGAGTAGTCCAGATAGAGAATAGATTGCATTGGAATGGCCTGAGCATCAGAAGACAATAAAGCTTAAAGAACAGATTTGGAAATAGTATGAACTGAATTGCATTTCTAAATATCACAGGCTGCTATATGGAAAATAGACTATTGAGAGACCAATATGCAACAGAGACTGAACAGATATGAGCTTACGTTGGTCCAGTGACAGGTGTTGGTGATTTGGTCAAAGGTAATAAGAGTAGAAATGGTGAGAAATGACTGATTCAGGATATATTTTGTATTTGGAACCACAGGATTTGCTGAGGAATTTATTGTGAGATATGAGGGAAAATGAAATATTGTGGAAGAATCCTTAGAGTTTTAGGCCTGAGCAACCAGAACAATGGAAATTACGTAAATAAGATGGAAAAGCTATATATAGGTAAAGCAGATTTGAGAGGAAAATCAAAGAATTATGTTTTGATATATCAAATAGATGTCAAGTTAAATGGTTGAATATAGTAGTCCAGAGCTCAAGTTGGAGCTAGAGGTAGAAATTCATAAGTTTTCAGCCTATGTATAACATTTAAAGCAATTAGCCTGTATTATGAGGTTTGAAGTTTCCAAATTTATAAATACAGTAAATACATATATCTATTCTCATTCAGTTATCAAATATTTCTAAAGTGTTGAGTGTAATCTAGGCACTGGGTTAGGTCCTAAAAATACAGCAGTGAAAGTAGACATTCAAATATAAATATATAGCATTAAATAATTTCTAGGTTCTCCATTAAATATTGCTTCAAATATTACAGTCGTCACAAATTGTCTGTATCACTCAGCTTAGCAAATAAATATGTTATTTGATTCTTTTATATTAATTTAGTTTTAATTACTTGATTTAACCGCTTTGAAAGCAAAAGCTGTGTTACTTAAAATATATGTATATATTATACATGATGCTTGTCACAATTCTGGAAACATTAAGTGTCCAAAGAATATTTATTAATTGATTTCATGATCACTTTAATTGTTGAAGGCAGTAGTATTTTTGTCACCATGATCTTTGTCTTTTGCATGGATTATACAAATAACCTCAGAATATTATCAAATTCTGGTTCCTAACTCTAATTTAAAAGTAGATTTACTTTCTTCACTTCCAGTAGTGCCAAGTTATTTTTCTTTATTTTATTCACATACATTTATTTCCTTCAATTTGCAGCCAGATTCTACTGCAACTGAGAGAGCAATTGCCAGACTAGCAATACACCCTCTTCTAAAGAAAAAGATAGATGTGCTAAAAGGTATGAACTAAATGACTTTTAAGCCATATACTTAAAGCATTGATTTTTGGATAATGGCTATTCATTTTTTTTAATGTTTTATGGTGCTTTTCACTCCTAAGGATTTTTTGTTTTATGAATGTAAATTTCTAGAAAGTATTTGATGTCTGGAGAAAAACTAAATCTGCTTTTTTTTCTAAATTCTAATGTATTAATATATAATATGTGTTATATAAATATATTTTTGCATATAATATATACATGATAAACTTGAATACAGTTGGGACTCATTACTTTTGCTTTAGCCAAATATTTTTATTTATATACATGTATTATGAAATCTATTTATAAAGTTAAATGCTTTTGTCACAGGTTATTGTTATAATGTAAATTCCAATTGTCTTCTTAAATGTTTCTGAATAATTTTGAAAATACTCTACTGAAACAATAATGTTTCATGTTTCAATGTTAAAACAAGTCATGCACTATCTTTCTTGCAGCTGCTGTGCAGGCTTTTAAAGATACAAGACAAAATGTTGCTGAAGTTGAGTCACCAAAAAATGCCTTAGAAGAAAATCATTCTGAGGATACATTGTGTTCAAGTGATAATGAAAGTAAGTTACGTCATGAAAGAACTATTTGTAGTGAGCAAAAAATGAAGAAATCCAAAATACTTGCGAGGAAACCAGTAAATAATTCAAAGGAAAAAATGGCCAAGATGGAACACGGACCCAAAGCAGTGGACATTCCAAATTCTCCATCTAAGCCTTCAAAAAGTGATCCTGTGGTTTCCTCTGAGCCCAAGAATACTTCTGCTGACCCCAAACTGAAAACACTAAGTCAAACCAAAAGAAAGAAAAGGTCTGATAACTCGCTTAGTGGTAGCAGTGATGGCGAAGAAGAATTACATGAAGAGAAGGAATATTTTGATGATAGTACAGAAGAAAGGTTTTACAAACAGTCTTCCATGTCTGAGGATAGTGATAGTGGTGACGACTTCTTCATTGGGAAAGCCAGACGGACACGAAAGAAGGAAAGTAGTTGTCATTCTTCTGTTAAGGAACAAAAACCTCTCCAAAAAGTGTTACCAAAAAAAGATGCACATGAAACTCATTGGGATATAAGAAGTGACAAAAATAAACAAAGTACAGATGCCCGGAAGTTAGAGTCAGTGTTTTTTCACACTTTATCTGGATCTAAAGGCTCTAGAAGGTAAGTTTATTTTTCTGTTATAAAATAATTATTAGGTATTTTGTTAAAAGATAAGAAATATCTACATGTTCTTAAAATGAGGGAAGAGACTGTAATTCTAGTTTGTATGACTCATCCTGTTTTTAAACTTGGCCCCCTCCAAGTTGATAGTGGGATAATATATACAAATATACATACGGTGTTGCCACATTTGTCTAGCTTCATCAGAAAATGAGACGTTATAGCCAAATAATGTGCCTATCTAATTTAAGTTTTATTCCCTGTTTTCCAAGTTTTGAGTTAGTTTTTGATGGCCCACTTTTGAAAACATTTTCTATATCTCTCTTTTTAAACTGAATTTTCTGAAAAGTATATGGTGTTTTGGGGTTTGTTGTTGTTGTTGTTTTGATAGCACAGGGACCATTCTTGTAAACTTCAGTCATTTTACTGTCTACTTCCATTTCAGTATATATGGGGAGATCCAAAAAACCTGGAATTTATTTATTAAAATTTATGTATTTATTCTTACATGTTTAAACTTCAGGCACCTTCAAGTACTCTTCATTTGATGCAGTTACACCTATTGAGACAATTTTTCCACTGCTTAAAACAGTTTTTGAACTCATCAATTTTGATGCCTTATAGTTTTTCTGCTGTATTTCGTTTTGCCTCTTTCACTTCAACAGAACATTTTCCTTTGAGGACTTTTTTCATCATGGAAACAAAGAAAAAATGTCGCTGGGGCAAGATCTGATGACTAGGGAGGGTGGTCACAGGGATCACGCTAATTTTGGTCAAAAACTGCTGAGCACTCAGCATGGTGTGAGCAGGAGCGCTCATAAGTCACCCATGATATTGCTTGTCAGCCTTTTGGCTAAGATCATGTGTAGTCACCCATCACAAAGTAGGCAAATGCGTTGGAAGAATCTCCACAAAAAATTCACTGAAGCCAAGCACAGCCTCTCACAGCAATGCTAGCTGGTACACTGATGCTGATGGGTTTCTAAGACACCTAGTGGAGAAAACCTGTACTACAAGGGGCCTGCCCTCCAAAAGATAATTCTGTTTTTTGCGGAGTCTCCCCCCCAGTATAAGGCTACTTACCTTAAAACTGAGTTTTTCCAGAATACTTTATATTTGGTGATGTTGCTGTCTCCATCCCTGCTGGTAACCACCACTTTTCATAGCTGTTCTGTTACAAATCATTAAGTTTAACGTCGTTTATAATTCTAATCTGATAGAGGATATCTTCACAGTTTAGAATGAAAATTATGGTTAGCTAATTTCTTCAGTAACAGCTGTTTTCTTCACTGAACTGTTTTTGTAAATTTTTGTAAAACAGGAATATTCTTTAATGAAATAGAAAAATGGGGTGTAGAAATTTTCCAAAAATGGAAGAGAATGGAAAAGACATAAAAACATCTTTGGAGCCTTGAAAATAATTAAAATATTTACTTATAGCTTCCAAACCTACCTCAAGAAGCTGTATTTTTCCTCTACATTTGAAAATAACACATTACCATCCCTTTCCTTTCCCATTAAATATAGATCTTAATTTTTGTTGTATAATGCTTATTCTTCCTATGGGAAAACCTTAGAAATTATCTGGATAGTCACCAAGAGTAGAGACAAGGTAACCAAGATAGGATATTTTTCAGTTGCAAGCAGATGTCTCTGTAAGGCTGATGAGAGAAAAAGACCCTCATATGTCTTTTAGTAATATTGGAGTCTAACAACCCTTTGTTGTAGCTAAAACCTGGAGTTTTCCTAATTATTTTGTCGATTGCTGGTGGGATGAAAGAGTATGATATACCTTGAATGAGTTTTGTAATCAGTTTTATTATGTTATCTTCTTAAGATTAAAGGATTTATTTATCTTTTAAAAATTATAATACTGTTTTTCTTCTTTTAGAGATTACAAAGAACAGCCTCCAAAGAGCAAAACCCTTGGTATGTATTAAGGCTACCTAACCCACATTTGCAATTAAGCTGTGTTTTACCAAAGTGGAAGGGTGAAAAATTATGGTTATTTGATACTGCCTGAATGAATTATGTACCCACAGAAATGGAAACAGAGCATCTTGCAATTATCAATATAATTTTTTATTGTTTCCCTATGTCCTGACAATGGGAAAGATTTAGACAAAGTAAACAGTTATACACTTAATCACTTAATGCCATACCATTAAACATTCAGTAACAAGTTTATTACTCTCTGAGTTGAGAATAAAATCAGAGTACTTTCAGATTAAGTTATAACAAATTAAAGGTTATTCTGTTTGGGAGGGCTGACTTCTCACACAGTACCAGACTTTCTCTGGCTTAACATAATAAAAGCTTATTTCTTATTCATATCACAGTCTATCATGAATCAGCAGAAAGTCTCTGTTCCACATGGTCATTCAAGGATCGGGCTTCCTCGATCTTTTCGTCCCTTCTTCCCCTAGATTCTAAATACTCTCCATTTGCCAATAGAAGAAAAAGGAGTACATGGAGAATTTTGCTGGAGGTTTTCATGATCCTCTCTTGAAAGTGGCAGAAATCAGTTCTGCTCTCATGTCCAGTATTTAGTAACATGGCCCTTACCACAAAGAAGCTTGGAAATGCCATCTAACGTATGTCTAGAAGAAAAAAGGAAGTGGAATTTCTTGAGCACATTAACTTTTTCTGCCACTGACCATCCTTTCTATCACCAGATGCCAATTTCATGTTTCTTCCTACACATAGGGCAGTATACTTACCTCTTTTCCAAGAAAACCACTCCAAAGTTGCAACTAGTCACTACATCTAGCTCAGAGACAGGGATCACTGACTGACTCCTCAAAGTCAGGTGACATTTGTACTAAAAAGAAATACATATCATGGTATACCAGCGTATACCAAGGTAACCACAGTAAAAACTCTCAGTCAGTTAAGGGAAAAATGGAAGGCACACAATAGGTTTCCTACCTGAAATTCTGCTAAGCAAAGATTCTGAAGGCTCTGAGAAGAATTTATTTATCCATTAATCGCTCTTGTTGGTCCCCGACTGCCTTCTTGGGAGGGTCTTTGTTTCTTGGCCATATCTGAAATGAGTATTTAGTATATCTTCCAAGTCACTGGTACAAAATAAAGTCCTGGAGATTGTTGAAGTCTAATGTCAAAGATTTTTTCCAGCCTAGACTTTTGATTTCTCTCACTATATTCTTCTTCAAAAACTTAGTGGATTTCTGACCTTTTGTTTCCATTGTTATCCATGGCCTAGTGACCATACTGAAAATTCTTTCCTGGTTCTCAAACTTGCCTTATTTATGTTTGATTGTATTTTGTTTTGTTTTTTTCCTACCCCCACTGTCATTCAATGTCTGCTGCATTAAGACTTACAAGGTTTGGATGGGAAGGCCATACCTTATTCTTGAGTCTCTGTGGGCCTGTATTTCTTAAAACCATTCTCAGTGTTACAGCTTACTACTTGGGAGGCAAAAGCTTTTCTAAATCTTGAGTTCTCAAATATCTAGACTCTTTCTTCTGTCCGTTTTTTTTGCTTGTTTATTTTGGGTTTTTTTTAGTACATTATCAAGGATGGCCAACATTATACTAACTTGTTTACTCTTTCCAACCATTTACCCTTGTACTGCAAACTCCAAAGGTATGTGGCCTGCTTCCCAAGTTATCACTGGCAACAGTTTCACCTATTTCTTTAGCATATAGGTTGCTCACCTCCCAGTCCTAGTTATTCATTTCTTTACCATCTACCACCAAACTGCTGAGTCAATGCCAAATTTTTGTGTTCTTGTAATGACTGTATCTTACTTCAGCGTACCAATTTCAGTATTATTCCTAGTAGACCACCTACTATAACAAGTAGTTACCAAATCTCAGTGATTTATTGCTCATCCATCAATCTGTCTGCTCATTGTCTCATTCCATTTTTGTGTCTCTGCATCCTCTGTATTCTATGCATTTTTTTCATTCATCGGTGATCGAAAGAGAAATGACAGAAGATCAAATATGAGGCTTTTATGGTCCAGGCCTTTTACTCACATTTCATTGGCCATAACTCTGTTAGTTACATGGCCTCACCTAACTGCAGCAAGAATGGAAAATATATTCTGGTTTTATACCTAGAAGGAAAATAATACAGGGTTTGACAAAAACATGGCAAATATACCTCATTTACCATATATTCACAAGCTTCAGGTGACTATAAATATAAAGCACTTCTACCTTTTCTCAATGAGAAGAGCCAAGTAAAAAGGTTTTGTGTTTTTTTCTTTTGCTTATCTTTTATATTTAAAATATCAGTTTATTTACATATACAACTTTAATTTATATAATATTATAAAATAATACATTCATTTAGAAATACTGCCTTATTTATGTCTTATTTTTCTGGAGAGAGTTTTATTTAAACTTTTCATCACTAGAGCCACTCTTTGAATAATCTAACAGATTCCTAGAGTATATGTGATTTGTGCAAGATGTGGGATAATTTTATTTCTGTCTACATGGTGTTTTAGAAATATTATCCCAAACTATATACTTGATGCAAAATATTATGGCATGTGCATTTTAAAGAGGTCTTTAAAAGACTTTTGGCAATTATGCCTAACTTACAATAGAGCAGTTATACACCCTAAGCACTGATTAATAAGTCTCTGTCATTTTTTTCTTTCTGATTCCATCAGCTACGTTTTATAAGCATCCAAAATATGCATTGATTCATGTCTTTTCATGCTAGTATTTCTTGCTCAAACAGTACTTGAACAGTATATGTTCGAAATCATATAAAGTGTCTCATAATATAAGATATTGTAGGAACTGGAATACAAGTTGCCATCCTTATATCTGGAGGATAACATAAATAAAAAAGAACTTTGTTTTATATTTTTTAGTAGACTTTATAATAATTTACCTTGCAACAACAACTTTTGGTTCAATAACAGAAGAGGGTGGAACCAACTTATAGCCCTTTAAAAAAATAAATAAATCCCATCAGCATTGTCAGACTCGGTGTCTTAGCTAAGACATGAATTTTTTGGCTACATCTTCTCCATACACAGATACCATGCTTGATATCTGTGATGTTCCTTTGAAAATACAAGATGCCAGGTTTTCAGGCCTTTTAATGTTAGCTGTACTGAGGCTTCTTCCTTTTTGTCATTGTTAATAAGGCAGCACAGCATATATTATGAGGTACTTAATAAACATTTACTTACAGAGTTAGAAACTGTAGCGAAATTGACTGCTCATGTGTAGATTTTTTATTTCAAATTATTATCTGTTGGACTTCAATTTTAAATTGTAAGGTCCTTCATTTAAGAAAATAAAATTTAATTTTTTAGCACTGGTTTGTAGAAGATGAAATCTATTTCTCCTGTATGCTTTTTGGGTATGTAGCTAGTTTAAAGTAATTTTGTTTTCTCTTCCTAGATTTTTCACAGAGTGGACCTCAGATCAAGAATCAGTTTGATAAGAAGCCACAAAGAGGACTTGAAAATACAAAACAGCAATTGCAGCTGCCTCTTCATCCTTCATGGGAAGCAAGCAAAAGGCGAAAAGAACAACAGTCTAAAATTGCTGTGTTTCAGGGGAAAAAGATTACATTTGCTGATTGATTAGTGCCTCTTTTTGTGAACTTTTCTATCTAAAAATTATTTTTCTTTTTTTTTAATTAGTCTGTTATTTAAACTTGAATAAGTCTATTGGAGAAGAGAATTATAGAATGTTTGTTTTTGTTTTTAAGTAATTTCAAGTTTACGTTTATTTTTTTACAAATCAAATTTGTAATTAAATTGATTTTTAATTAGTATCCCCCATACTGTTTCCTCTATAAAAGAATTTTGGAATCATAGTGATCTCAGATTTTCTCATGTGTGTTTATCATAATGTATATTTCGTTCATTTGGCTGTTTTTTTGCCTTGAAAATAATGTCAACATATATTTAAAATAATAATGGAAAAAGAAGAAATCATATTTATTTAAAATAGATCAGATCACCTCTCACCTTTATTAAAAATTATTCTTAGCAAAACTAAGAATAGTAACTTTTATTATGGATATACAGATAAGTTATGCAAGTAAATATTAATTTTATCATAGTTTTAATTACTTGTGATCATGCACAGAAATTTTTGACTGTTCTTAAATAGTTTTCCAGGACAATTTCCAATTTCTTAATTATGTTTCATTTACTTAGGCAAATTGTTTAAATGTAGCAACACAACCAAAAACTGGTTTTATGTTTTACTGCATATAAATATGTTCATTAAATCAAACATGTAAACTACCTAGTTATTTGACCATGTGTGGTTATAAAAATTTTTTGAGGAGTTATCGTTTGTAATTTATAAGAACAAATTTTGAAGAGGTTGGGTTAAAAGAGTCTTTCTGCTGATGGCTAAACAGAGAGGTTAAGAGATGAGTCACTGAGGAAGGGACTACTTTATACATCACAGTTCTGCTGCTTAGAAGGAAAAAAGGATTTTTGAAATCCCTTCCGATGTTTCACTTTTGCTACTCTGGGAGAAATTAAACATTCTTGGTTAACTAAATAATACTAATCCATGTTTCCTGCACATTAGCGCTGTTGATGGCAAAGAAGGCCATCTGATTAGCCTGAATTTACAAGAGTCATTTCTATTTATTTCAGGAACTTAAGAATGTAGATAACTAGAACAGTGGAATTCAATAGATCAGGCAGAGAAAAACTGTTTTTGCTGCGTTGAACATATAATTTATTTTTGTACTTTTATTCTTTTAAATTTTTATTTTGACACAATTATAAACAGACCAAAAAAATAGTAAGGAAAAAAATGTCTCTGTGTCTGCTCAGAGTTTACCAAACTATGAGATTGAGGGCACTGTCCTCCAGACTCCCAAGTCTGCCCAAGACTTCTTAATCCCAACTGGAGGAAGTTAAAGTCCACTAAAAAGGTAGAGGGAATCATTTGCATTTGTTCTCTGCTAGATTATGGTACATGGAAAGTACTGTCGGACTTTGTTCTGGGGTACAGTGAAGTTACTTAGACTCAGATTGGCCCTTTTGAGGTGTGTGCATGAGACTATAACAGCCATGAGTCTAGAGCAGTGGTCTTCGGCCTGGAGTTTTCCTCCCCAGGAAACAAGTGATACATGGAGACTGGGGGCGGGGGCGATGTTTTCTCAAGTACACACACAAAAAAGGATTTTCCAGGCCAAAATGTAAACAGTGCTAAGGTTGAGAAATCCTGGTTTAGGGATTATTTGGCCTCCTTGAGGCATTTCCATTCTAGGAAATCTTTCTGTTGTGGCTGGTGAGAACACAAACTATCCCTGGACTTATGTATAGTTCCATTTCTTTCTACTAGTGGTTTTTTCTATGGCCTTGGTAGATTTTTCATATACATTGAATAGGTCAGTCTTCTACCAAAGACTTGAGGGGATCCTTCTATAGATCTTTTGAGCACTTACTTTTTTTATGTTTATTTCCTTCCTTCCTAGTGTTTTTGCCTCACAAGTTCTAATCACAGTAGCCTGCCTGAACTCTGAAGTCTGTCTCTTCAATTCAGTAAGGCCACTGAGTTCTGGGGTTTCTTCCCTCTGCATTACTATTTGTAACCTCTTCAGGCAGCAAGCTGATGTAGGAATAGGGCTCATCTCATTTGTTTTTCTTCTCTCAGGTATTGTTTTCCTGTGCCACCTATTGTCCATTGTCTGAAAACTGTTGTTTATATATTGCTTGCAGCAATCCAGAGCATTTACTCAAGAAAAATGTTTGAATCTTGAATCTTGAATCTGAATCTGAATCTTGATCAGAACAGTGGCCATTGTTAATTCTTGCCCTGTTTCCATCCCCTCCTTTCCAGATCTATGGTAGCCATAGAAACCAACAGCCAATAGTTACAGTGCAAACCAGCAACCTGGCTACCACTGGAGTGAGTTCGGAACAGGGCTGGAGTTTTTTCAAAGACACATTCCGTGAGAACTGTCGTTATTTGACCTATCTGATGGTTCACTAGATGACCCCACACACAAGGCTGTCTTTATTTCATCAGAGTCAGAGCTTACCCATTGTGATAAGCCTTTTCCCTGAGATTGCTTTTCAAATACAGTTAGAGGGAATTGCTTTAACATCAAGACTGCATCAGACAGTGTAACAGTTGGAGTAAACAGCAAGTTAACCAAAAAGCTTAAAAGGAAATCTGAAGAATGTACTATCTAAAGGGACTTGAATAAATTGACATTTGGGGGGATAAAGGAGATCATGCATATGCATTGGTCCATGTGTACACTCAGGAAAAGCTAATCAGGCCCTAAGGTCTCACTTCTGGCTGACCCTATGGTGCTGCACAAGTAATAAGTGAAGGCTAAAGGGAAGTTATCAACTTTTTGTCTGAGCGGTGAAGGCATGCCCAACACACACAGCTTCTCATCAGCGAAGTATTCCAGGCGTTTAATGAAGTCTTTGTCCAATTATTAGCACACTATTAAGGTAAATAAATCAGATTTCAGTGACCATACCCAACAAATAACACAGACTTTACAAATAAATAGTTCAGAAAAGTCACTAGACAACAAAAGGCAGTAACAAACCCTGAGGAAGAAGGGGAATCTGATTTACAGAGTTGCATGTTATTTTCAACAAAAAATTATGAGAATGTATGGTCCATACACTGGAAGAAAAAAAGCAGTCAATAGAAACTCCCTGAAGAAGCTCAAACTTCGGACTTTAAAAAGACATTAGGAGCCGGGCTTGGTGGCTCAGCCTGTAATCACGCGCCTTTGCGAGGCTGAGGTGAGTGGATTGACCGAGCCCGCGGGTTTGAGACCCGCCTGGGCAGGCGAGATCTCATCTCTACAATAAATCAAAAAACTAGCCGGGCGTGGTAGCGCACGCCTATAGTTCCAGCTACGTGGAAGGCTGAGGCGGAAGAATTGCTGGAGCCCAGCAGGTCGAGGCTGCCGTGGCCGGGAGCCGCCACTGCACTCCAGTCTGGGCGACAGAG